CTACGCACAAAGTAAATTTAATAACATGTTTCCGAAACAACTTAAAAACATCGTATCACATGTATAATTCAATGATATTCATAAGCAATAAGGACAATCCAATCAATTTTGTTGATTGGATATTTCGCGGCTGAGTAGTTGTGTGAAACAGCCCACATTATTTTACAAAAATAATAAATATCTCTCTAAGTTTGTTTTCAAAATCTACCAAAATTTACCACTAAAATAAACAGCGTGCAACGAATACATACGTTCGTCCAGTGTGTATATACAATAACGAGTCCTGGGTGCACTTTTTAAGTCCTGAGTAGTGTTTAGACGTACCCCACTACGGCGAGGAGAGAAACTTTTGGATCCACCAGCTCCATACCTTAGAACCTAATGGTCTAAATGAAAAAGACATGTAAAGATACAGGAAAGATAAAGAATAATTTATTATGTAGCATCGCCCTTACTACTCTGTAACATTAGCCAATGGATGTTGCAAATTTACTTTTAATTCAACAATAATTAATCTTGAACATCATTCAAATTTGTACAATGAGCTGCAAAAGAGGGACGAAAGATACCAGAGGGACAGTCAAACTCACAGATCGAAAACAGACAACGCCATGGCCAAAGATAAAAAGACAAACAGACAAATAATAGTACAGCAAAAGTTTCTTATCTGCATCCGATTTCACCTGGAATAGATGCATTCGCTTGATGAAGCTAGTTTGTCTAGCGAAATATTGCGTTGATTTTTGATCGCTTTGAAAATCTTTTTAACATTTTAATATTTACATACTAAATAGTGGTAACTTGACGATGATGTGAATGTACCGCAAATACACTATTCAGTTCATATGACAAGAACCTTTTGATAAATTCGAATACATGTTTAGATATCTGAACGTTTTGTTCATACGAAAGGTTCGGTTTACAAGATTATTAACTTTACATTCGGTATAAAGTCATCAGGGAGTCATTAAAGAGTATTCATCAGAATTTCTCTTTGGTCTGTATATAAAGGGCAGTACAGTCTCAATGTCGCATCAACAAATACTAGATGGGTCAGCAATTGTATTGATTCTGAAACAATTAAGTCGGGCGTGTAGCTATGTTTACGTCAAAACGCCCGGGCTTACACATAAATATTAGAGAAATAATATTTTAACCTAAATAAATTAAAAGAACTGGTTAAAAGTCTTTTAATTCTTTTTTCAATGACTTGTAATTGAAGAAAGAAGTGACGAAATTAATGGTATCATATTATATTATATTTGTTCATATTTTTTTAAAGTCTGAATCTAGTGTGAATTCTACTCAGTTTCCTGTTGTATAAAGCATTTCATTATCTGCTGAGATACGATATCTAGTTTGCATTTTTGTCGATCCTGTGACATTCGATACATACCGATTCTAGATTCCGTCGGCGTCGGCGCCGTCGACATTTAGGTTCAGTCTGTGGTTAAAGCTTTTTTTATACGCCCGTCAAAATTTTGAAGGGACGTATTATGGTATACAAATATCGTCTGTCCGTCTGTCTGTCCGGCGTAAACATGTCGCACCGTAACTTGAGAACGACTTATCCAAATTTCATGAAACTTAACATAGTTGTTTTATGATGGTCAAAAAATCTGTAGACTTTTTGGTGAAAATCAGATTAAAACTGTTTGAGTTACGGGACTTAGTCACATGTCGCGCCGTATCTCAAAAACAGTTTATGATTATTGCTTAAAACTTTACACACTTCTTAGTTATATTAATCTTAAGATCTGTATACTTTTAAGTGATGATTCAAAATTTTATTTTTGAGTTATTGAGTATTTTGTAAAAAAAGGGGGGAGGGGTTTTTCACATGTCGCGCCGTATCTCAAAAACGATTTATGATTATTGCTTAAAATTTTACACACTTCTTAGTTATATTAATCTAAAGATCTGTATACTTTTTGGTTTTGATTCAAAATTTTATTTTAGAGATATTGATTTTTTTTTTAAAGGGGGGTTTTCACATGTCGCGCCGTATGTCAGAAACTATTTATGATTATTGCATAAAAATTCACAAACAAGACGACGGGCGTATCATGCGCTCATGGCGCAGCTGTTTATTTAAACATAATATCGATGTCAACCTTCATGAAATTTTATGAAATTTGGACAGAAGCTTTTTTATGACCAAAAAACAGTATCAATAAAATATATGTTTTTTTTAAATTTTTTCCATATTTTTCTGATAAAAGGAGTTAATAAGTAGATAAAGTAAGATAATCTTAGGTTAAAGTTGGTTAAACATCAATTAATTTGTCAAACCTTCATTGAATTTTATGACAATTTGGCAGAAGCTTTTTTTTTATGATGAAGAGATAATGTCTGAAGCAAAATTCTGAAAGTACATTTTTCTCTTCATTCTGTCTTTTACTGAAGCACGGATTTTTTTTTTTGCAATTAACAGACTTGATTAAATTTTTGTGACATTATAAAGTTGTAAACCTTCATAGATTGTTATGAAACTTTAACATAAGCTAATTGTTCAAGATTAAGAAAAAGCATCTGAAAGTTTGATTTTTCTTAAATCCCGCTTTTACACTGACAGCAGTAACTCCAGGCGAGACCGACCTTTACGAATTTTTGTGTAACACCAGACCATCTTTAAAAATTAATTATTTGCTGTGTCTATTAAAAAATTTGAGCATAAAAATGAGAGAAAATTCGATGAAGTCAAAATATTTGATTGAAAAATAAAACATTGAATTCGAAACGTTTTGCTTTTTTTTAAATTTTTGGTCGATTGCTTGTTTTATCCCACATCACTTTTTAAACATTTTATAAAGTGACTGTTTTGGACATTTTTCTCTGAAACCAATGACCATTAGATTCCAAATAAACACAATAACTAATAAATTAAACATAAAAATAAATAAATTAGACTTTAAAGTATGTTGCTATTGGTGATTTTTTTATGAAAGAAATGGTATCTCTTTCTCGATGACGCATCAGTTTCCTTGGGCTCTGACCTGAACCCGATGGGGGCCCTCAGAACCCCTCCCCAAGATTCGGGCGTACACTTAAAAAATGGCATAGCTACGTAACTGGAAGTCATGATTCAAAAAAGATGAGGAGTATCGGTCCACTCAAATAGTGCTTATAGTTAGATCTTTATCCATAGTATTTAGCCTTTTAAATTGGATTTTAAATTTTGCGATAGAATCTGCTTTTCGAAAGAACAAATCAGTGTTATTTCATAGTCTTGTATGCCATTTCGCAAAATATATACTGTTGTGCTCTGTACACAGGGTGGAACAAGATTGCTTAGATAATCTGGAGCTTGTTTATATCGAAAGTATAAAATATTTGTAATGTTCGTCTTCTCCTGTCAGCTAAAGTTTCCCACCCAACATCTTCATACAGACTTTCAATTTTGTAAGTGTTGACAAACCAGTAACTCTTCTAGCAGCTTCTAGCTGCAAACGTTACAGTTTATAAACATATGTTATCGGCCCACAATTATCCCAAATCTCAGTTGCATATTCAAAAGTTGGTCTTGTGAATACTTAATAATTTTTTTTTAATTTTTTCCCTATAAAGTCGGTACTTGAGTTTTCTATGTATATTTAAATGTTTTGTAATACTGGTGATCTAATAGTCAATATGGCTTTTCCACCGAGCATCAGAGCAAATTTTAACCCAAGACGTGTGTGTTGCATTTTGTAACAGGGATTTCTTTATCATTTAAGCAGAATTTAAGATCTTCTGCGTCATCATTAGGAAAAAAAACATTATTTCTGTTTTGTCTGGTTTAAAAGACATAAGCAACCGTCTTGACCATTCGTTCAACTCCCTAAGGTCACGATCAACAACAGTTTTTATATTCCGTCATTGTGCCCCGAGTAATTAAACGAGTTTGGTCAAATAATTGAGTTTCTTTGCAATGTCATTTATATATGTTATAAATAACATGGGAAGACACCTTACTTGTCGAAATGCGCATCTGGTGCAGTTCAATTAGTACTTTCTATTTTTTAGGTATTTTTTTGTCATATAGCCTTCAACTGTTTCGATTCTTATACATCCTCGGCTTACAAATATTCAGCTCTGAGCGTTCCTGATGAAGGTAAATCCAGAAAAGTGCTTCGGACGCATGAAATTATTTAACGTGTTGTTTTCATTTTTTAATGTTATTACTATCACTTGGTTGATACCTCTGCGTGTGGACTGTTAGTCTCCGAGGGTATCAATAGCCCAGTAGCCAATACTTCGGTACTGGCATGAAAATAAGAAAATTGTTTTATTTAAATCAGTTTAACTGAAGGAATGTATCACCCTCATGCATAACTCTGATTAATTGTTCGGGTTTGACTTTACTTTTGGTCCTTTTTGGTTTTATCAGCTCTTCAACGTTTGTATTAAATTTTACATGAAGAGACATTACTTGTCGAAATGTGCATCTAGTACAGTAAAACTGGTACCAGTAAGTTTATAACACTTATTTCTTATTCTTGTACCAGAAACAAGTCTTACTGGTTTAGAGTAAGTGTGACTGGATGTAACAGGGATTTCTTGTTAGAGCTGATAAAAATCTATGGATTTTTAAGAACGGTTTACACCCATTGTATGTGCTCTCTACACACATGTAGAATTCATGCAGTAATATTTAAGAAAATGAGATAACTTTATTATTTTTTTTCGATTTTTAGCTCAAGTACTAGTATATCTTACCGCAGTTGTTTGCAAAATCTTATAAAAAATTCTTTGACATACCCAATTTCTGTAACATGGCCATACATTTAAATTATGTACTTGTAGAAGAATTAACGAGTCAATATTTCTTATATTGTCTTAAACAAAGTTTAAACCATTAAGTTTATAACACTTATTTCTTATTCTTGTACCAGAAACAAGTCTTACTGGTTTAGAGCATATGCGACTGGATGGATCATGCTTTTGTTGCTGTCTGTTTAAGACAGAACCATATGGGCATAAACGATACAATGATATTTACTGCAATATTTCAGATTGTTTTGATGAACCTCACGTTTTAAATGGGTCACCAGATGAATATTTTGGACCCAGCAGAGATGTTCGACATGGAGTGAAATACAAATGCGTACACAATTTCCGGCTTGTAGGGAAACCATATGTTGCATGCAGCGACAGAGGTGATGGTCATGCTGAATGGGACATTTTATTTTCCTGCTATCCAGGTACATGTTCTTACTTTTACAATAATATTAAACTTTTTCACCACTTATTTCTTAGTTCAGTTTACATCTCTGACATGTCTGGGAAATAAAACAGTATTGAGCAGAAACACGTAGAAAGGAAGTTTAAATGAGTGAGGGGAAGGATTTAATGGATAATCTAATAAATAAATAAATTCATTGCATGCATCACTCGGTTCACATTCCCTTTGTTTAAGACAATATAAGAAATATTGACTCGTTAATTCTTCTACAAGTACATAATTTAAATGTATGGCCATGTTACAGAAATTGGGTATGTCAAAGAATTTTTTATAAGATTTTGCAAACAACTGCGGTAAGATATACTAGTACTTGAGCTAAAAATCGAAAAAAAATAATAAAGTTATCTCATTTTCTTAAATATTACTGCATGAATTCTACATGTGTGTAGAGAGCACATACAATGGGTGTAAACCGTTCTTAAAAATCCATAGATTCGGCCTTCGGCCTCACCCCCTATGGATTTTACTCACCCTCTATGGATCCGTAGGGGGTCAGTAGCGAACCATATATGTTATAATATTAACACCATAGCCAAAGGAACATCACCGTCCGAAAACAAGTGTGTGTAGATTTAGTGGCGAACACGGCTTCATCCTAGTTTCTGAAGTCTATCTTAGAATTACAATGTGAACTGTTCTCACAAAATTTGCTCAATCGTGCTTATTGGATTCCTTAAATAAGAGGAAATATGGGATTAATGAGAGGATTGCCAGATACCAAACACGGGTACATGTAAATCGTTAATACAGATAAATAATATTTTGTTAAAGGAAACTGCCCACATGACAATGGATATTTGTACAACCAGGATTTACAGATCTGCTACAAGCTACACCGTGTTGAATCTCAGTACACGATAGCTAAAGAAAAATGTAAACAGGAAAATGGTTCTTTGATGAGAATTGATATGGAGGCAAAGCAGGACCATATTGCCCAATATTTGAGTAAGTTATATGTATTTCAACACTTTGTTTTTCTGATCATTTATCCGAAATCATAAATATATATAGATGTCAGCTTTCTTTTCATCATGATTGCATAGAACATTCAAAGTTATAACTATTCAACGATATAAAATTGTCTTAAGATTCGGATTATTTCATTTTGGTTCTTGATATCCATCAATGCAAAGATGCAGGATTATTGATTGATTGTTTATGTATCACCACTTTCCCCTGAATTGCTTTGCTCAGAGGGTCATAACCAGAAAGTTGTGAAACCTAGTTGAATTGTTTATCGGCGTCCAAATGATATTCAAGAAATATTTTGCACCAATTTTATTTGGTATGCAGTTGTATTAACATTGGCATATTTCATTTCCTTGGAGAGATTATTGTCCCCCTCCTCAGTCAAGATTTATTGACTTTGATACTTTTGCATAGTTTGCATGTTTCAGGTCAGTTTAAGAAGAACCATCTATGATAAGACTGATTAATACATATTACTAATAAGTATATTTCTGCGAGTTGATGTTAACCTAATAACAATAGTCAGTCTCATGTACCATACCACATTTATCTATAACTAATATTGATTCTATGAATAGAAATGGAAGTGTTTTATTTTGGAGGAACCCGTATGCTTGCCATTATCAATACTTTAATATCATATACAAAACATTGCATAACTATTTCTAGTTTTATTAAAATACTATTACCAAGACACAATTGTATAAACACTATACAAAAATCATATTCACAAACAATTCTAAAATACATGAAATAACAATAATTGTATCATTTGGCTTTCTAGGGACTACTCATTAAAACTTACAATGAAAATAGTTAAAATAACACAACTCAAATACACTACCTACTCATTAATTGCCTAACTTATGCACCTGTGGTAGAGCCGGACAGGTGAAAATTATAAGAACCTGTGGTAGAACCCAAACAGGTAAAACTTCTTGAAACCTGTGGTAGAACCCAGACAGGTGAAACATGCAAAAAACCTGTGGTAGAACCCAGACAGGTAAACAAATCTTGAAACCTGTGGTAGAACCCAGACAGGTGAGCATTAAAAACATACATGTAAAAGAACCTGTGGTAGATCCCATACAGGTGTTTCAAATGAGAATTCCTGCAGTAGATCCCAGCAGGTACAAATAACTAACTTAATTATGACCCTTAAATTAAACAAAGCCTTAATTATTTATAAGATATATTAATGAATTGGGGGAAAATAATTTCCCTGAAATTAAGTTGGCAATACAAACATAAAACAAAACAAAAACAACATATTTTTATGAGTAGCCCCTTTTAAAAATAAAAATGAAATAATAAGAATTTTTAGGTGAAGCTGGGGACGGTGGGTGGGCTGAATTAATTTTCCACAAATAAAAATTGACTGCTTACAGTGCAATGCCCAACAAACAACTGACCCCCTTATCAAAATTATATACAGATGCTTCTCTAATTACACCCATGCTGTGATCATGGTGTTTCCTATCTATGATCTATAACTCCTATCCCAATTTCTCTAATTAAACCAAGCTGACATCTAACAGAAAATAAAAGATTAAAGTACAGACCACAGGAATTAAAAAAAATATGTATAAATTCTAATTTAATTTTTTAAATTCCTATAATTGGTATGCTATTGGCATGAATTATCATTGATATTTTCATATTAAAACTGTTTACAAAACTTTAAATAGCTTGAAATACTAAGGATTTTCTACCCCAGGAATAGATTACCTTGGCTGTATTTGGCAAAACCGTTTGGCAAGTTTTGGCCTCCAATGCTACTCAACTTCGTACTTTATTTGGCCTTATACTGTTTTCACCAGAGCATCACTAATGCGTCTTTTGTAGACAAAATGCGCGTATGGCTTACAAAGTTATTAGCCTGGTATCTTCGACGAGTATTTTGCTTACCATTCTTAACATATCTTTCAATTTATAAAGTTTAGTCTTTTTGTTAATTGAAATAGCCACATCCTAAGGATGATTCTTGACAAAGCTGGTTTCAACTGGCCCATTTTTTTGCGAAGAACTTTGCAATTTTGAACAAGGCATACCAAGTGACGATACGCGCGGGTTCGAATCCTACACATGCCACTCGTTTTTGAGAGGATACAAGATCGTAAGTTAAAGGTGTAAAGTTATATTAAGTTAATACTGTGGTTAGTGGATTCTTGAAAAATAATCTACAGTAAGAACAATAGACTGACGTCAGAGAAATGGGTTAATTTCAATTCATCCATGTAATGATAATACACAAGACAATGGGTCTTTCTAGTAAGATTTTTACAGAGATTTTCATTAAAACATGATTTGTATTGCTCCGTATTCAAGATGGAAAGAAAGACTCTGCAGTAGTAATGTCCAATCTGATAACTGCAAAATCTCTCACTCTGTTCAGTTATTATTTGTTGCTTGTTATTTGGATTATAATTTTTAATAGATATAAATATATTTCAACCAAGTCATAAGGACCATTATAACTGATTACTTTGCCATAAAAATCTTTACTAGAGTGGAATCATTGTAACCTTGGCATTATTCCTTCAATGTTTCTTAATATTTGCTCTTGTAGTTTCAGGAAGACTTATTTTCGTGGATACTTTTGTTTGCGTTTAGATCTTTCTTGTCTACTTTACATTATTTGTCTACTTGCGAAAGTCACAACAATAAAAGTCACAACAATAAGAGTCATAAAAATAAAATCACAACAAAAAAAGTCAGGAAGTCACAACAATAAATCGCTTGCAAAAATAAGTTTGTTTACAGTAAGTTTGTATTTAAAGCCAGATAAGTGAAAATATATGGAGAAGTATAGTTGCAAAACAATTTACTGTTCACAACCAGTACAATAGTAGTAAGATGGATTATTCTGATTACAGAAACACAAGGAGAGTACCTTGCCAACATTGACTTTGTCTTCATTCAAGGCAGCCATAACAGAAATGATGGTTCATCATTAGACTGGAGATATGACGATGGTACACAAATGGATTATTTAAATTGGTACCCCAATCAACCAGACAGTACTTCTCCTACAGGAACAGATTATTTATCTTTGTATAAACCAGATGACTTTAAATGGCATGATGTATGGTCAACATACATAGGGATACCGCTATGTGAGATAGATCTAGCCACATAAGACATCAACAATTACTCTTGTATATAAGAAGATAGACAATGTTAAATTGAGTATCTAAGAATGTCGACTTCCTTTTTTTTTTAATGTTTCTAAATATATATATATATATATATATATGCAAAGCTTAACATAAACTGGGAATTCAGAAATATTATCTTTGACATATTGAAGCACAATACATCTTATTTCAATTTTACAGATATGTTTGGTATTATTTTAATTTCAGTGTAAATAAAATGCTCCGTTGGATGCTGCTTGATATGAACGCAGAGGTACAACCCTGAACAGTTGGGCAAGTAAGGACACAACATTTAAGCTTAAAATAGCTCTGAATTTGGATTGTGATTGAATATTTGACACAGCATGGGTTTTTGACACAAAATGAATGTGGTCAAAGAACTGAAAAATTTGAAATTGGACATTTACCTATTATGGTCCAATATCCAAAATCAAAGTACATGGTTAGAACCAGCATATCAAAGAACCCCAAGAATTCAATTTTTAATGAATTCAAACAACAGTTTTATTTAAGACCCTTTGGACCTCAATGTGGATCAATTTGATAACAGAGCCAAAAACCCATAATCAAAATACATGGTTAGATTCAGCATTTCAAAGAACCCCATCAATTCAATTTTTGTAGAAATCAAACAAAGTTTAAATCTGGACCCTGATTTGGATCTACTGGAAAACTGGGCCCAAAAATCCAAAATTTAAATACAGGTTTAGATTCAGTTTTTCCAAAAAACCCATATATATTTAATCATGTTGGAATCAAACACAGTTTTATTTTGGACCCAGATTTGGATCAACTTGAAAACTGGGCACAAAATCAAAAATGCAAATACATGTTTATTAACAGACAATATAAGCTAGTGTTTCATCAAAAAATAAATAAATGGGGAATGTGTCCATGGGACACAGACATAACTCCAGAACAGTAAATAAAGGCAACAGTAGTATACCGCTGTTCGAAACTCATACATCGATAGAGATAAAACCAAATCCGGGTTACAAACTAAAACTGAGGGAAACGCATCAAATATAAGAGAACAACGACACAACAAAAACACAACATTAAAATGTAACACACACAGAAACGAACTATAATGTAACAAAGGCCATTTCCCTTACTTGGTACAGGACATTTTAAGAAAAAAATGGTGGGTTGAACCTGGTTTTGTGGCATGCCAAACCTCCCGCTTTTATAGCAATGTTAAATATAACATTAAAATGACAACATTACATGACATGACTACAATACAAATAAATGGGAGAACATACAGGACAAAGAAACACACGAATAATAGCTAACAAAAGGTACTAGGTTTAAAATTTAATACGCCAGACGTGCATCTCGTCCACACAAGACTAACCAGTGACGCTCAGATGAAAAAAGTTTGAAAGCCAAAACAAGAACAAAGCTGAAGAGCACCGAGGACCAAAAATTCCAAAATGTTGCGCCTAACACGGCCAGGGTTTTCTGCTTGGGACAAGAACATCCTTATTATTTAGAATAATTTATACTTTTGCAAACAGTAAATTTTATAAAATGACTATACAATAGATATACATGATAAAACGGAAGTGGGGACTAACAACAGAATAAAAACGGATACATTACATAAAACAACTTAATCCAACACATAAATATACACAGCCGAGTTAGCCAAAGCCTCAACGCACAAAGTGACGTCACATTTGAAATTCTAAAAAAACACACAAAGTGACGTCACATTTGAATTTGTAACAGTGACGCTACCCAAATTTGTACTTGATCTGGGTTTTGTGGTAATAAGCATTGTGTAAAATTTTCATAACATTTGGTTGAGGCAAACTTAAGTTAGAGACCGGAAACGAAAAATTCAGCATTTTTCCATTTGTAAAGGGGCTCAACTCTAGAACGGTAAAAGTGACGCCACCCAAATTCAATATTGATCTGTGTTTGGTGGTAACCAGAATTGTTTCATAGTATTTGGTTGAGGCAAACTAAAGTTAGAAAACGGAAACCAATTTTTGGACGTACGGACGGACGTACAGACGAACAAGGGTAAAACTTAAAGCCCCCTCCGCTTCGGCGGGGGCATAAAAATATATATAGCATTCAGAAACTTAGTTTAAACAGAACAAACAAACCTACCACAAAATTCTTGAAACAATTTACCAAAGAAAAGAAAAAATAATTTCCAAAATATCATTTATCATTAATACAATGTCTTTAAAAAATCTATAAAACTTATCTGTAATGATCTTCAAAATATCTAATAACGAAAAGTAAATTTCGAAATATATTTATACTGTCCTACAGAGCTTATCATCAACAACACTTAGGAAACACAAATTTTTCACAAAAATCTGTCACTCCAATTATAATTGTGTAATTGATTTTACGATCATTTCTTATCATTAATGTAGATTTTCTTTTCAGTCTGGGCACGGTATTTTACAGTTATCATACAAGAAAACCAGCAACAACAAAAATTAAAGAAGGCAAATAAATTTTAGATGGTATAAAAACACTTAGTGTAATCAAACTTTATATATATAATTAATAGTTCCCAATACTTTTTCTTTCAACTTATCTATCAATGTCAACAACTTTATCTACACAATGTATTGTAATGAAATATATCCTTTAATAAAAAAAGATTATTATCTAAAAACAATTTTTTTATTAAGATGTTACATAACATAATATATGGCACAATTATATTTAAAAACTTCACTCAGCTACACTTCCACTTCAATAGATGGACAAAGGTCTATTTTAATTTCCAAGGGAATTTTCAATGATAAGAAAATATTCAAACATGTTTACAATCTTTAAATAGAACGCAATGCATACACAATGATCACCACAATTAATGTATCTGAATCAGCAAATCTATTTTAAACTATGATTCAATTTAAAATTTCTATAATAAATCTATAAATGTAGAGCTTAATTAACTATTTAATATCCAACCCTCCTATTGTGGTATGGAACATTGTGCTAAAACTTCTTACATATCCATACACTTATACTAAAGTTATTGTCTGTGAACCAATTGATTTTCCATGAACCAGTGATGTAAACCACAAAAATAGTTCTCTAAAACTAGATATGATGTTATATCTATAATTCTTAACCGGATTTTCGAAGTAAAAATCGGTTATTGATTTGGCGATGTACGGCGGGCGGCTGCCAATCAGTGTCCGTTCATTTACATGAAAACGCTTAAAAGAATTTTTTTCAAATTTAGATATGTTGTTTCCTGTGACTAAATGAAGGTCAAGTTCAATTTTCATGATTTTAGCTTTTCTCGTTAGTCAGTTATAGCCCTTTTCCAAGAATTCAATTTTTGAGGAATTAATCCATTTCTGCAAGAAGGGAAATAATTTATTTTCAAAAAGATTTTTAAATGACATTGTATTAATGATCAATGACATTTTGGATCTATTTTTCTTTTCTTTGGTAAATTTTTCGAACAAATTTGTGGTAGGTTTATTAGTTATCTTGGTGTAATCAGGGGTGTACAGAATTTTACACCGTTCTTGAAAATTTATACACCCTGAGGCGCAGCCGAATGGGTGTATGAATTTTCAACAACGGTGTAAAATTCCGTACACCCCTGATTACACCAAGATAACGAATTTATTTCTTATGAACAATTCCTTTACTCATTTTTAGATAGGAATGTAAAATTGAAAATGCTAATGAAAAATTTCCAGTGTAACATGTTTTCAACGTGGAAGTTGCTGCGCATTGTCAATTCTACACTTATAGATTTATTATAGAAATTTTAAATTGAATCATAGTTTAAAATAGATTTGCTGATTCAGATATATACTTTTTTTCTTTATTTTTGGGAAATTCAGAAAATTTTTGTGTTCTTTAGAATTTTTTGGGGGAAAAAATAATAAATTTCATTTCACGTGTGTTAATTTTAATTTTTACTTGATCCTGTTCCATATTTGTAAATTCATTAGATAATAATCTATTTGTATTAAAGGATATATTTCATTACATTACATTGTGTAGATAAAGTTGTAGAATTTCATAGATAAGTTACAGATCTTTATTAGTTTGTTCAGAGAACAATTGAAGGTCTTTCCACTCATAAAGATCTTTTTTGAAATAAAACTATTAAAATTTGGTTTTAAATATCATATTCAGCGTCTAATGATAGTTTAGTGTACACTGATTCCAAAAATACATGGTTTCTATACATTTTTTTCAAAATAAGGGAGATAAATTGTTACTTCCGGTTTGAAAGATGTCACTTCCGGTTTTATTTGATAGCTTACTTGATACTGATTCCAAAAATATATGGTTTAATATACTTTTACATTAAATAAGTACAAAAAATAGCTAATTCCGGTTTACACAAGGTCATTTCCGGTTGGCTTTTCCATGGTCAAGTGGCTTGCAACGTAATGCAAAAACTCCTATGGCTTTATCACGTATACATACGAGGTAAAAGCAAAGGTCAAAATCAATTTCAAGGTCATAAACCGAGGGCTTCAAATCAAAAGACCATAGGTCTTAATTATATATGGTTAATGAGTTATATCACATTACGCCTAATTTTTAACATAAGAGGGGAGAAAATTCCAATTTAATGTTAGCGTACCATTTCAACCAAAATTTATGTGTAACGACATGTCGCAACTTACAATTTAGTAAAAATATCTTGTTGATATCTTATACGGTTTTTGAAAAGAAGTGAAAATAAGCCATAATCAAAATTTAAAGTATGACCTTGACCTCTGACCTTGACCTTATTTTCTTATTTTTGGACCAATGACCTCAAATCAAAAGATCCTAGGTCTCTATCACTTATGGTTTACAAGATAGAAATGCATATCACTAATAACAAACAAGCAATTTTATAAAATAAATTTGTCGCTTTCTTTTACGGTTACAGAGGAGATGCAGTCACAAGGAAAACAGTGTTCGGGGAGATAACTCCTACAAAGAAAAGTCTTCTGTTAAGCAGGGTGAATTTCAAAGGCACATAAACTGTTCGATATCATGTATCAAACATCTAAGCGACATCTTGCGTAACAAAATTTATACGCAAGAAATAAAAGTGGCGGAAGAAGAAAAAAAAAATAATAATAATCAGAACAAATACAATAGGTCTTTCCACCGAAAAGTGGAAAGACCTAAATATTGGGAACTATTAACTATATATATAAAGTTTGATTACAGTAAGTGTTTTTAAATGATTTTTGCCTTTTATCAAGATAAAACACCATCTGGTAGTTGTCAATCACTCAATTATAATTGTAGTGACAGATTTATTTGAAAACTGTTAATTATATTAGATTATAATTTGAAAATAAATATATCATCATATCTAATTTTAGAGAACTAAAGTTAAATCATATCTAATTTTAGAATTTACATTATTGGTTCATGGTAATAAAGTTATTTCCCTTTGAACAGAAATGGTTTATATAAGAAGTATTTCATCAAACATTGAATTCTTTGGATTTCTTGATATGCTGATTCTAGCAATGTACATAGATTTTGGACCATAATAGGTAAATGTCCAATTTCAAATTTTTAGTTCTTTGACCACATTTATTTTGTGTCACAAACCTATGCTGTATCAAATTTTCAATCACAATCCAAATTCAGAGCTGTTTTAATTTTAAATGTTGTGTCCATACTTGCTCAACTGTTCAGGGTTAGACCTCTGCAGGAAAATCCGGTTTGCTGTCTCTCTGACAGCCTCTTGTCAACTATGACCCAACTTACAATTTCTGTTAATTGTCCAATAACATCACTGAATTTAGATTCTGAAGAAATATGTAATAATAGCATACTTTCTGACACAGAATGAATGTGGTATAAGTTCTTAAATAATTTGAAAATTATACATTTACCAATTATGGTCCAATATTCAAATTCTAAATACATGGTTGGATTTAGCATATCAAATAAACTGCTTCGCTGAGCACAGCTGGAAAAGCCAGCAGAGGTCCAACCCTGAACAGTTGGGGCAAAAATGGACACAATATTCAAGCTTGATACAGGTCTGAATTTGGATTGTAATTAAATATTCGACATATAGGTTTCTGAATAAATGTAGTCAAAGAACTTGAAATTGGTTATATGAATTGAATTTATATTCAATTAAAGATTTCTTGCTGTTGTGTAATACACTGTGCTGTTGTGCAATACTTAGTAAATCTGTTGTCAGACTATAAACAAATAAAGTTCAATTAATTCTCAATGTCATATTAGAAATTTATGAAAATCAAAAGGGAGCTTACATCAATAGATATAAACAATTCACCAAAGTTTCATGAGAATTGCTGACAACATTTTTGAGTTATTGTCCGAAAACTGGAAAATCCCCCCTTTTTTAATGAATAAAGCCCCATAACTCGGAAATGTAAAATGTAAAGTTTATAAAATTCTAAATTGAGCTTACATCAATAGATATAAACAATTCACCAAAGTTTCATAAGAACTACAGAAAGCATTTTTGAGTTTTTGTCCAAAAACTGGAAAATCCCCCTTTTTTATGAATAAAACCCTGTAACTCGGAAACATATAATCTAAAATTTATAAAAATCGAAAGGAAGCTCATGTCAATAGATATAAACAATTCACCACAATTTCTTGCAAGTTGGTGAAAGCATTCTTGAGTTATTGTCTGAAAACTGGAAAAATCCCCCTTTTTTTAATGAATAAAACCCCATAACTCGGAAACATAAAATCTAAAATTTATAAAAAACGAAAGGGAGCTCACGTCAATAGATAGAAACATTTCACCAAAGTTTTATGCAAATTGGTTAAAGCGTTTTTGAGTTAATGTTCGACATGTTGACGTCGGACGGACAGAGGTATACCATAATACGTCCCGTACACGGGCGTATAAAAACCACATCGTTTCATTTTTTGTTAAAATCAAACTAAGTTTTATTTTGGATACATTGGACCTTTATGGGTCCAGTTTGAAAAACGGGCCCAAAATCAAAAATTTAAAACACTGTTAGATTCCACACATTAAAGAACACCAATGATTTAACTTTTGAAGAAATCAAACAAAGTTTAATTTTGGACCCAAATTAGGACAAACTTTGAAAACCAAGCACAAAATCAAAAAATCAAAACACTGAAGGATTAACCATATCAAATAACACTAACAATTTAATTTTCATAATTTCTACATATCCAAATACTAGTTTTTCATGGGGTACATTAGCTATAAAAAGAAGGTAAACCTGTTATTTAGTGAGTGAAAAGTCATTCATGTATACAACTATTTTCTTCATTCAAGCATAAAAAATAGTTTCATGTAAAACCAAATGTTACTAAACTGTGTTGTATCATGGAGAAGAATATACTCGTAAAAAACATTGATAGATCACCTATATTATTAATGAGAAACCAGCAAATGTTTCTAAAAATAAGATTTTAAACCAGATATTTATCAAAACTAAAAGAACATACAGACAGCATACAAAAAAACAGATATACAATAGTGAGTCCAGTCACATCTGTGTTATGGTATATGAGGGCAAAAAATAGCATTTCATCTGGTTGATAAACTCTATCCCAACTTGTCCACCTTATTTCCCAATTTGTTGCAATTGCAAAGAATGAAATTTTTTTTCTGAAGAATTCTGCTGAATATGATACTTTAAGACAAAATTTTGAGAACACTGCAAGACTGATTACTGTAAATCAAAATCAATGGTGAATGTGTCCATGGGACACAGATGATGCAGCCCTTGCTTGCATATAACGTCATAAAGCGACATAACTCAAGAACAGTAAAAGTGACGCCACCCAAATTGGAACTTGATCCGAGTTTTGAGGTAATAAGCATTGTGTATTATATATAGTTACGGGTTATGTCCTTCTCATATATTTTATGATGGTATGATACTAAACCCCTAACAGGAGGGATTGTACTTGATTTTCATATAATGAAGACATAATCTTTCAATCAGTTAAATTGAGGTCTGGAGCTGGCATGTCAGTAACTGCTAGTAGTCCTTTGTTCATTTATGTATCATTGTCATTTTGCTTGGTTTCTTTTGTTACCTATTATGACCTCGGACTCAGACTTCTTTTAAACTGAGTTTTACTGTGCGTTTTACTATGCGTTTCTTTATTCTACATTGGCTAGAGGTATAGGGGGAGGGTTGAGATCTCACAAAACATGTTTAACCCCGCCGCATTTTTGCGCCTGTCCCAAGTCAGGTACCTCTGGCCTTTGTTAGTCTTGTATGTTTTTTAATTTTAGTTCATTTATATGTTTTGGAGTTTAGTATGACATCCATTTTCACTGAACTAGTACACAATTTTATTTAGGGGCCAGCTGAGGACCACCTCTGGGTGTGGGATTTTCTCGCTGCATTGAAGACCCATTGGTGGCCTTAGGCTGTTGTCTGCTCTTTGGTCAGTTTGTTGTCTCTTTGACATATTCCCCATTTCCATTCTCAATTTTATCATAACATTTGGTTAAGGCAAACTTAAGTTAGAGAACTGAAATAAAAAATTCAGTAATTTTTCCAATTGTAAAGGGGAATAACTAGAACGGTAAAAGTGATGCCACCCAAATTCAACTTGATCTGTGTTTTGTGGTAATAAGCATTGTGTATAGTTTCATAACATTTGGTTGAGGCAAACTAAAGTTAAAGAATTGAAACTAATTTTGGGACGTACAAGACAGACAAGAGTAACACTTAATGGCCCCTCCACTGCGTCGGGGGCATAAAAATATTGCGTGCATTTATTATTGCGATTTTTGAAGAATGAACAAAAATTAGTTTAATCATCGTGATTTTAGGAAAAGCTTCATACAGATATCTGTATTTGATATCAGAATTCTTATTATTGTCATGCTCAAGTAGTCAAACTATTAGCATTAATAAAAAGCTTGCAATAATTTCTAAATTTACAGTATATGGTTCTATGTGTTCACCCCTATTGATTACACATTTTTAAACAGACAGCTTTATAGATCTACAACTTGACATTGTAAATGAGTAATAAACTAACAGTGCTGTATATGAATTTATTATTCCTGATTTTCAGGAGTCTGTTTCCTTGGTTTGAGGTTTCTTTGTCTCAGTATTTGTGACCCAGTCGTCAGTATAGGATTTGTTATATAGGGAATTGGTCCATCACACTTCTGAAAATACAAGACCAGTTTTTTAGCTTATTAAGCTTTAAAATGACCATTATATCATCATATATTAACTGAAAGATTTTGAATAATACATTAACTTCCTTTAAAGTCTGATTTATAATCTTTTTTTGAATGAATTTTCAAGATGAAAAACACAAATCAAAGTGCTTTTCCTTGGCTTTGTGTGTTATCAAGGGCATGCAGGTCTTGCGTGCGATGAATTAATATGACACATCCTTTTTTTTCATTAAAATTGTTTTAACACCTAAATTGAAATTTGTGTACTTGACCTTTATACAAAAAAGAGCTGTGCCATGAGGGCATGTTCATCCGGTCGCTTTTTCAAAGCTTAGCTTAATTTCACAAAATTTAACCATACTGGCTGCTAAAAGTGAATTATTATTTCATTATTTCACTTTCATTAATGATTGAACAAAAAAAATCATACTTAAGATTTTTTATAAATCTCATAGCTAGTGCCCCTTTAAAAATTTGACATTGGACATTTATCTATTATGGTCCAAATCCAAAATCTAAATACATGATTAGATTCAGCATACAAAGAACCCAAAGAATTTTTGATGAAATCAAACAAAGTTTTATTTTGGACCCTTTGGACCTCAATGTGGACCAATTTGATAACAGGGCCCAAAATGCAAAATCTAAATACATGGTTAGATTCATCATATCAAAGAACCGCATATTTTCAATTTTTTTTTTTAATCTAACAAAGTTTAATTTTGGACCCCGATTTGAACCAACTTGAAAACTGGGCCCAAAATCAAAAACCTAAATACATGTTTAGATTCCGCATATCAAAGGACCCCTTGAAATCGATTTTTGTTGAAATCAAACAAAGTTTAATTTTGGACCCTTTGGACCTCAATATGGACCAATATAAAAACGGGATCCAAAATCTATATGCATGGTTAGATTCAGCATATTAAAGAACCGCAAGAATTCAAGACTTTGAATAATACCCTTTTGAAATTGGGTCAAGAAATAAGCAATCTATACAAAGTATTAGAAAAGTTTTGTTTTTAGCCCCTTTTCCTAAACAGTTAGGGCCATAAAGCCCCCAAATCAATCCCAACCTTCCTTTAATGGTATGGAACCTTGTGGTACAATTTCATAGAGATCCATAGACTTATACTCAAGTTATTGTCCGTGAACTAGGAAATCCTAGTTATTTGGCCCCTAATTCCTTAACAGTTTGAGCAATAACCTCCAAAATCAATCTCAACTTTCCTGTTGAGGAATGGAACCTTGAGGTACAATTTCATAGAGATCCATACACTTATACACAAGTTATTGTCCAGAAACAAGAAAAATGCTTGTTTTTAGCCCCTTTTTCCAAAACAGTTAGGACAGTAACCCCCAAATCAATCCCAACCTTCCTTTTGTGGTATTGAACCTTCTGGTACAATTTCATTGAGATCCATACACTTATATTCAAGTTATTGTCTGAAAACCAAATGTCTTCGTACGAAGATGACGACACTGACAACTTAATAACAAAAACAAAAAAACTGAAAAAAAGAAAGAAAATTATTAGACTTTCAAAGTCAATAATATCTCACGATACTTTTGGTTTCATGAGCAAAATATAATAAGCTAAGATTGGGTTAGAAGCAAGAGGCTCTCAAGAGCCTGAATCGCTCACCTGTATTTCAGAGGAGAAGATTTTTAAATGTTAGCAAACTTGATGAACAAATTGTGTAAAATTGTCTTTAAAGGGCAATTACTCCTTAAGGGTTCATGACAATTATGGTCATATTAACTTTTTTTGTAGATCTTACTTTGCTGAACATTATTGCTGCTTACAGTTTATATATATCTATAATAATATTCAAAATAATAACAAAAAACTACAAAATTTTGTTAAAACTACCAATTCGGTGGCAGCAACCCAACAATGGGTTGTTCGATTCGTCTGAAAATTTCAGGGCCGATAGATCTTGACCAATTAAACAATTTTACCCCATGTCACATTTGCTCTGAAAGATTTAGTTTTTGAGATATAAGCCAAAAACTACATTTGACCCTTATGTTCTATTTTAGCCATTACGGCCATGTTTGTCGATTGATACAAACTTCGGATACAGTTTTTAAACAAGATACCCTAAGGAACATTTAGTTAAAGTTTGAAGGTATTTGGCCCAGTAGTTTCAGAGGAGAAGATTTTTAAATGTTAGCAAACTTGATGATCAAATTGTGTAAAATTGTCTTTAAAGGGCAATTACTCCTTAAGGGGTCAATTGACAATTATGGTCATATTAACTTTTTTGTAGATCTTACTTTGCTGAACATTATTGCTGCTTACAGTTTATATATATCTATAATAATATTCAAAATAATAACAAAAAACTACAAAATTTTGTTACAACTACCAATTCGGTGGCAGCAACCAAATAATGGGTTGTTCGATTCGTCTGAAAATTTCAGGGCCAATAGATTTTGACCAATTAAACAATTTTACCCCGTGTCACATTTGCTCTAAAAGATTTAGTTTTTGAGATATAAGCCAAAAACTGCATTTGACCCTTATGTTCTATTTTTAGCCATTACGGCCATGTTTGTAGATTGATACAAACTTCGGATACAGTTTATAAACAAGATACCCTAAGGAACATTTAGTTAAAGTTTGAAGGTATTTGGCCCAGTAGTTTCAGAGGAGAAGATTTTTAAATGTTAGCAAACTTGATGATCAAATTGTGTAAAATTGTCTTTAAAGGGCAATTACTCCTTAAGGGGTCAATTGACAATTATGGTCATATTAACTTTTTTGTAGATCTTACTTTGCTGAACATTATTGCTGCTTACAGTTTATATATATCTATAATAATATTCAAAATAATAACAAAAAACTACAAAATTTTGTTAAAACTACCAATTCGGTGGCAGCAACCCAACAATGGGTTGTTCGATTCGTCTGAAAATTTCAGGGCCGATAGATCTTGACCAATTAAACAATTTTACCCCATGTCACATTTGCTCTGAAAGATTTAGTTTTTGAGATATAAGCCAAAAACTACATTTGACCCTTATGTTCTATTTTAGCCATTACGGCCATGTTTGTCGATTGATACAAACTTCGGATACAGTTTTTAAACAAGATACCCTAAGGAACATTTAGTTAAAGTTTGAAGGTATTTGGCCCAGTAGTTTCAGAGGAGAAGATTTTTAAATGTTAGCAAACTTGATGATCAAATTGTGTAAAATTGTCTTTAAAGGGCAATTACTCCTTAAGGGGTCAATTGACAATTATGGTCATATTAACTTTTTTGTAGATCTTACTTTGCTGAACATTATTGCTGCTTACAGTTTATATATATCTATAATAATATTCAAAATAATAACAAAAAACTACAAAATTTTGTTAAAACTACCAATTCGGTGGCAGCAACCAAATAATGGGTTGTTCGATTCGTCTGAAATTTTCAGGGCCAATAGATCCTGACCAATTAAACAATTTTACCCCATGTCACATTTGCTCTAAAAGATTTAGTTTTTGAGATATAAGCCAAAAACTGCATTTGACCCTTATGTTCTATTTTTAGCCATTACGGCCATGTTTGTAGATTGATACAAACTTCGGATACAGTTTATAAACAAGATACCCTAAGGAACATTTAGTTAAAGTTTGAAGGTATTTGGCCCAAAAGTTTCAGAAGAGAAGATTTTTTAATGTTAGCAAACTTGATGATCAAATTGTGTAAAATTGTCTTTAAAGGGCAATTACTCCTTAAGGGGTCAATTGACAATTATGGTCATATTAACTTTTTTGTAGATCTTACTTTGCTGAACATTATTGCTGCTTACAGTTTATATATATCTATAATAATATTCAAAATAATAACAAAAAACTATAAAATTTTGTTAAAACTACCAATTCGGTGGCAGCAATCCAACAATGGGTTGTTCGATTTGTCTGAAAATTTCAGGGCCGATAGATCTTGACCAATTAAACAATTTTACCCCATGTCACATTTGCTCTGAAAGATTTAGTTTTTGAGATATAAGCCAAAAACTGCATTTGACCCTTATGTTCTATTTATAGCCATTACGGCCATGTTTGTTGATTGATACAAACTTCGGATACAGTTTATAAACAAGATACCCTAAGGAACATTTAGTTAAAGTTTGAAGGTATTTGGCCCAGTAGTTTCAGAGGAGAAGATTTTTAAATGTTAGCAAACTTGATGATCAAATTGTGTAAAATTGTCTTTAAAGGGTAATTACTCCTTAAGGGGTCAATTGACAATTATGGTCATATTAACTTTTTTGTAGATCTTACTTTGCTGAACATTATTGCTGCTTACAGTTTATATATATCTATAATAATATTCAAAATAATAACAAAAAACAGCAAAATTTTGTTAAAACTACCAATTCGGTGGCAGCAACCCAACAATGGGTTGTTCGATTCGTCTGAAAATTTCAGGGCCGATAGATCTTGACCAATTAAACAATTTTACACCGTGTCACATTTGCTCTAAAAGATTTAGTTTTTGAGATATAAGCCAAAAACTGCATTTGACCCTTATGTTCTATTTTAGCCATTACGGCCATGTTTGTCGATTGATACAAACTTCGGATACAGTTTATAAACAAGATACCCTAAGGAACATTTAGTTAAAGTTTGAAGGTATTTGGCCCAGTAGTTTCAGAGGAGAAGATTTTTAAATGTTAGCAAACTTGATGAACAAATTGTGTAAAATTGTCTTTAAAGGGCAATTACTCCTTAAGGGGTCAATTGACAATTATGGTCATATTAACTTTTTTGTAGATCTTACTTTGCTGAACATTACTGCTGCTTACAGTTTATATATATCTATAATAATATTCAAAATAATAACAAAAAACTGCAAAATTTTGTTAAAACTACCAATTCTGTGGCAGCAACCCAACAATGGGTTGTTCGATTCGTCTGAAAATTTCAGGGCCGATAGATCTTGACCAATTAAACAATTTTACCCCCGTGTCATATTTGCTCTGTAAAA